TTTTTTTTCTATTTATTTAATTTTTTTTCTCACACACCAAAAAACACCCCCCCAAATTTTTTTTTTTTTTTTTTTTTTTGTTTTTGACAGGGCCGTATAGGCCGACGTGCGACGGCAGCGCGCGCGTGCCATTTTCCCACGCGCACCCCCGCCAGGGCCTGGGGCAGCCTCGTGGAAACTCAGCCGTGCGGCCTCAGCCGAGGGCCTGCGGTCGGCCTCCTCGACCGCAGGATCTGCGGCCCTGGGGGTCACGTAGGTCTCCGTTAATCTGGCCATCGAGATCGGGAAAACATGAGCGTCGACACTGTCAAAGGGAGACTGGTCCACACCAGTCTACACCACGAAGTCAACGCTACAAGAGAAGAGTCGGATGCTGGGGAAGTCATTCTGCCTTGCGCAGACGCTGGGAAAGGGCATTCTGCCTTTATGCTGGCGCCAGTGCTGCTTGGTGGGCGCCAGCGTCAATGGAGATTATGCTGGAGCGGCCATTGCCGCTGCAGCTATAGACATTGGTGTTGAGGTTGGGCGAGGAGGGGGAGGATCAAGGCTGCGAGACTGGAGAGGGTTTGAGGGGAAGCTTACCTGTGCTTACCTGGCGACGTCGTGTGTGATCTGCTGCTCGTCTCCACGAAGGCGAGGAAGACCTGCACCATTCTCCCTGATTGGTTGCTGATGTTGCAACAGGGGGTATAATGCCCAAGGAGGAAGTGGGCAGGAAGAGACTTCATGCATGATTGACGGGACTCTTCTTCGTCTCCTCCTCTCTGTCCTCTCTGGTCTCTTCTCCACACTACCTCATTGTCTTCTCTGAAGTTCCCGATGCGCAGGAAAAGTGCACACATGCTGGGCATTCACATATAATCGACTTCGGTCCGGAGACATTATGTTGTCCACTGGGTTCCAATGACTGGCTTCTCAATACAACTGGGGTTCATTACACATGTTATCAGAAGAAAAATCGAAGTTAACAACAAAGCGCGCTTTTAAACATAAAAAAAGACTGGTATCAGCAGAGGAGAGGAACATGTATTGATGTACCAAATTGGCCAAATACGAAGTGCTGAGCCAACCTACATAGAATTTCATTGTCTGAAACCTATACCAACATCCAATACTATTTATCGAGCGGTACTGGGGTTCCCTCTTGGGTGGCTCGTACTGTTTTGCTGACTGTCGTCCTTAGAGAAGGATCCTCTGGAGCTTCTGCGCCTCTCGACCAACTTTTCAGTTCCTATAACTATTTGGAGGATCTATCGAGATTTCTCCATTTGCTCGATCGGCCGATTGTGAAAGTGACCTGCTCCTCAGACGAATAGTACATGAAGGTGTGATTTGAAACTTCTGTTTGGTAAAGCCTTGACGATGTGAGCCCTGAGCTGCAATTCCTGCTTTTCCACACGGAAACGCAAGCGAAATTAGGATGCCATACGGATGCAAAGAAAAGGAAGAAGACAACAGCACAAGGAGAAAGATGCAAAATTACGATGCCGTACGGATGGAAAGAAGAGGCAGAAGACAACAGCACAAGGAGGAAGATGGATCCCTGAAACTTCTCCTAGAAGCAGACCCCGCCTGGATGCGAAGTAGAGAGAAGAGAAGTAGAGAGAAGAGAAGAGAAGAGAAGAATGCTCACTTCATTGGACAAACTTCACAACAAAAAACAGAAGTGAGAAGAAACACATATTCGTAAATACAGGGATGAAATCCACATCCACACAAAAGATAGGGACCATACTCTAATGGAAGGAGGAATTCAAAGACGAGAGTCGTCACACAAAGCCCAAGACAGGCAAAGGGTCACTGCAAGATGCGGCAACTGGCGCCCTACCAGCACTCGAAGGAATCTCCTTTACTAGGAGAAGATCCAGGCACTAGCAAATTGCCCCACGATGGAGATCAACCCGTTGAACCGTACGATAGAGTGACCTATCATACGGCTCTCTATTCTACTTGCGTTCCAGTCTTCGGGTAAGCGAGTTGAGTGAGAGGGCCGAGAACACCGTCTAGGCTCAACTCTTTCTTCGAGCCTAACAGCAAGAACGTTAGCTCAATGCACAAGAAGAAAATCACAAGCGTACCAATTCAATAACCATGATAGATCAATTCAATACAAGACAAAGGGGAAGGAAACAGAGAGAAATGAGCGATTGCTCAAAGAAAACGGTCTGGGGTCGGCCTCCGCCCACGACGGAAGACAACATCAGTGTGTCATTCCCCTTGCTTCTGACCAGTATGACTCAGGTGATGGTCCCACAATTTACACGCAAGGCCAAGGCCCCACAACTAAGACAAACGAAGGGGGGGGAAAAAAAAAAAAAAAAAAAACATTACCCTTACTCCTGCCCCTCCAGGAAAGAGGACCAAGCAAAGACATTTATGATTTATCATTTACATCCACGTGCTATCAATTGCTTCTGCAGAAACGACTCGCAATCAGTGTTGTTTTGTGTCACACACTCACCACACACACACACAGAGGCAGACAATATCAGCGGAAACACGCTTCACACGATATCCATCAGTTTCTAAAAGGGGCGCTCGATAATTTTGTCCAACAGGAGGTTTCAAAGTCCAGCATCAACCTGTGCACTAAAAGGTGTGCATAAATGACTCAGCAGAAAGGGAGGAAAGATGCACGTTCTGGGACCATCCATGGTTTTGGATTATACACACACTTTCGCTCTTTTGTCTTGAAGCTGATGGAACATTGCTAGGCCCTAGCAGCTATCGTCATCCATTAAGGCGAGGCAAGATGAAGAAGAAGAAGAAGAACTGAGAGCGAAATATGTGGGATGAACAATCAGGAACTCGACTCGGATGTTCGCCATACTATACACACGCATTTGCGACGTCCAAGACCCCAATAATAATCCGATGCCTCCGCTTTTGTCAGTGGATCACATGCCTCCAACTCATCAGCCTTACCTTGTTGCTCACTTGATTCAGTTAAATGGTGACTGACTGTTGGCATCACAATTTCATCGTGGACAACGACGACTAAGATGCAATGGTTCAATGGCATGGTTGAGATACCCTCAGTGGGTTTCACAAACCTTGCCGATGGAGCGTAACCGAGCACAAAGGCAGGGGTAGGGAGGAGCAAATTTACTGCAGGGGGAGGGAGAAGGAGCAAATTTACTGCAGGGGGAGGGAGAAGGAGCAAATTGACTGCAAAACGCTTGAAAAGTCCTACGGAAGCCGAAGAATTACAATCAAACACAAGACTGGCGGACACAGGATACCCTTCCACCAAAACAAAAAAGGGGGGGGGAGGGGGGGGGGGGGGGAGGGAGGGAAGGAAAAGCAAAAGGCTTTTGCCTAAGACTGAAAATTGAAGAATGGGTTCAAAATGAACCTGACGATAAAAACTTTCCATGAAGGACAAACAAAGAACTCGTAATCTGAGACACAGCAACAATAAGGACCTCTTACCCGTGTGAATCCGCCACCATCCCTTGATGCCACCGAGACAACACACATATATATATACTCGAAGGGGAGCAGAAAGTAGTGGCTTCGCCCTCGCAGGCACGTAGAAAGGTGAATGCCTTCTCTCATCTCCTCAGCAGCCCAAACAGTATGCAAAGCTGCAAACGCTTGGTCACAAATTTAAAGGCCATGTGCACACACACACATGAAGAGAGAAGACGCCTCTTCCCTGCTGGCCCCTCCCCCCGTTTCCCACTCGGGTTAGCGAGCAAACATCTCTTCAATAATCTTCATGGTATGCATCCTGGGACTAGCAAGCATGCTTCCCCTCCTAAACCGCCTCACCTCCATCATTACCAGGCTGTCTTGGAAGAAGCTTAACAATAACAACTTGCTGTCGATCAGTTTGCAGAAACAAAAAAACGACGAGCGCTGGGAACCTGCCCTAGCAAAACATACCTCTTGGCCAAACCCTCATCCATACCCCACAGGGTGCTCTTACCCTTGTCCTCCCCCCCATCATCGGTTTCTTTTTTTATTCAAGCCTTCCTTCCCATCTGGTTCCACGTACCAACAGCTGCCCGGAAAGGGCAAAAGGGCAGTGCCTCCTACTTTTCTTCATCCACGCAACTGCAGTTTTGCTGGCTTGCTTCCACTGCAGCATTCCACGCCTTTCATCCACGCGACTCCCAAATGTATTCATACAGCATTCAGACAATCCCAGAGAAAACTTGTATGCAAGCACTTCTATCCACTGTACTTCACCACCTCCATCTCCCATCTCCCATCTCCCATCTCCATGTCCATCTCCATCTCCATGTCCCAGGAGATACAGAACCAAACACTTTGTTCCACTGTCACTGTGGGAAACTCAACGCCTGCCACTATATGCACTAATTGATAATCTCCACCTTGCTGTTCACCATCTCCATCTCCCACCTCCATGTCCCATGACTTACACAATCAGACACTTCATTCCACTCTGTGAAACTCACGCCCACCACCATATACGCCACTCGATCATCTCCAGCTTGCCTGGTATACACAACCAGGAACATCTACCCTTATGTATGATCCCAGACAAAGCTTAGCGTGTGGCAGCACTTCTCTCCATTGTACTTCACCATCTCCATCTCCCACAACTTGCCGAGAACCAGACGCTTTGTAGCCCTGTGCAATACTTCTGCCTGCCACCATATGCTCCACTTGATCATCTCTGCAGCTTGCCTGGCATACAGACAACCAGGCATACATATTGTTGTACCATCATCATCTACGAGCCATTCTCAATAATAACTCCGTCAACAGCTAACGAGCAAAAGCTGGGTATCTGTGTCATCTGTAGCTGATTGAAAATCAGTTCTCCAACTTCTCCTTCTCCTTACTATTCAAGAATACCGTAAGCGGCTTTCTCGAAATAATGTCATAAACAACTAAACAACAGCTTCCTGGCGATGACAAACTGCGTGGTCCTCCTCTTTCATGCGATCCCATGTCCTTCTCTAGGAGGCATTTCTCCACTTCCTATCCCCTTGCACTTCATAACAAGAATGTCTAACAGTTACATTACTCACTTGCTGTTGGTGTGTAGTGATAATCTGCAACTATCTGAAGAAACTGACGCACCAGAAGAGTCGACTGGCGGAGCAACCGTCATGTCTCGCCTCCAATTGCATCCCCGTTCCACTCACACGCAAGAGTGACATCTCACCAACACCCCTACCAAACCCTCTACTAAATCCCTACCAAACCCTACATTACGCTATTTTATCCTCTACCTTATCCTATCCACTCCTCTGTCCTATCACAACCTCATCTACATCTACACCTACACCTCTTTACAATCACACACACACACACACACACACATACACACACACAAACACACACACACACACATACACTTACACTTACTCTCACATAGACATATGTACACACGCACACACACACTTTTTTTTTTTTCTCCCCAAAAGTTCACTTACACTTACTCTCACATAGACGTGCACACACGCACACACACACACTTTTTTTTTTTTTTTTTTCTCCCGAAAAGTTCCGCTTCAGCCCTCTAGAGGAAGGGATACGAGCATCTCCCTATAGTGGACTTAGGGCAGAATACTCTTGTTTATTAGTGGGGAGCAAGACTTGCTGGAAACCGGGCCCAACGTCCCATGAACATCGTGAATAAAGCCCCAGCCAAGACCCCCCCCCCCACACTCTTGAAGTTATGTACTATAGCGAAAACGACACACATGAACACAACATAATCACTATCTTACCCCTCCCCAACCATATCAACAAACAAACAACGGGTTGCGCACCCGTGCTCTCATGGTAAGTCAATTGCATATAGCGAACATAGCAAAACATACACACAACATAATCACTACCATACCCTTCCCCAACCGCATCAACACATGATACGATATAGAATTTGACACAAAAGAAAAGATTCACGTCAAGTGAAAAGTGATAAAACAAACTACGGGTCCGATCGTTTGGGGGGGTGGACAGGGCTTAGTAAGGGGGTGGGGCATGTTGTCGGTGGGAATACCCTTACAAAGGTATCCGCCCTGGTTTTTGCAAACGTCAGAAACGAGGTTTTGATTTAAAAATTGAGTGCAAACGTTGGGTGCGCCACGCGAGTCGCGGCTAGTTTTCCTTTGTGACCAACAGTGCGTTCACAAAGGAGGAGAACAGGGAGTGTGTGGTCGCACAGTTTTGAGGCGCATGTGATGTTTATCATTGATGTTATAAAATCTGCGCATCTACCGATCAACTTTTTAATTTTGATTGAATTAGGTTTAAGTGATGTTTTTCGTTGGTCGGTATGTTTGACCGTGATGCGTGTGTGTTCGTGCGGAGGTCGTGTGGCCTTTGTGTGGTAAACGGAGTGAGCGATGGAGTAAAAACACGGATTAGGCCTCCGCACGGTAGATTGTGGGAGCTTGGCGGTCGTGAGTTCGGTTGATAGGCCAAAGTGTGGTTTTGTTGCGCCTTTACCGTACTGAGTCAGAGAGTGAATACTCTTTATGTACAAAACGGCGCTTGCTATATCCAGCCTTGGGCCTAGCACTATTGGTTATAACATTGGATTTTTATGCAGTGGATTGAGGGATCGAGGCCAGCGATCAACGAGGGAGGAGCATCTTGGAGGAAACTGCGGGGTTAAGGGTCCAACAAGACGATCCCCATTGGTTTTGTCGATGGCCCCGAGTTCGGGACCAATTGGCGGGACAAGGGGGATGGCAATAGTAGCCCTTCCTCTCGCTAAAACTCAAGATTTTCGTTTTATATTATCTTTTATCTTTATTTTAGGTCCCGTTTTCAAGAGCGATAGCAGTGTTGGTTCTTGGACCGGCGCTAGGACCGTTGACTTAGTTCAATTGATGCACCATTGACCTGTTGAAATACAAATGTGAGTTTAGATGCAGGCGGAACTAGTTGAGTGGCTATTTTCAGGGCTAAATACTTGCGAGGGTTTGAAAGCGAAGAATTATCGAGAAGGAAGAATGAAAAGAACTTGGAAAGAAAGCTAAGTGCTTGAAATCACAGAGTAAGTAGAGGTGGACGGCGACAACGTTGTCGCCCTCCTTGTTGGACGTGGGATGCCAGCCGGCATTGCGGCGTGGAGCGCCTCAAGGCTATCAAAATCCTGATCAGCAAAACTTTATGATGATGAAATTTGACGTGTACCCTGAGATGATCACAAAGATGATGGATAATGATGACGACGCTGATGATTATTTCTCTCCACCCCTCCCCTTCTTCCAAGTATTCTCCTCCTCTCCCCTCATTTCCTCTTCTCCTCTCGCTGCCTCCGCTGAGCCCAACCCCAGCCCCGCAAACTGGATGAATGCAAAGGATTCCTTGGATTTGTTGGTGTTAGTCATTGCACCCATTTGTACATCGAAAAGTTGAGGAATGAGCAACCAGAGTGCTACTACGATCGTATAAGGCATTTCTCCATTCGTGCACAAGTTGTGTGCGACCATGAGTGCAGGATATCCGACGTTTATGTCGGTAGCCCAGAATCTATCCATGACTCTCGCGTGTTGCGGATGTCCCGTTTATGCGTTGAAGGTGAGAGTGGTGCGAGAGTGTTCGACGGGGAGCTTACTTTGCTGCGGGATGGCAGTCCTATGGTGCCGTTACTGCCGTACTTGTTTGGAGATGCTGGCTTTCCTTTGCTCGACTGACTGATGACTCCCCATAGCACACGCAAAGTTTGAACGGTCACGCAACTCAAATTTGATGATTGCCACTCGATGGTAAGGAATGCCATCAAGTAGACCTTCGACATTCTGAAGAGTATCTAGAGGAAATTCGGTCGGAGGCAAATAGGCAACTTGAAAACTATCTGCTGCGAATTCATGGCAGTCTGCATCCTGCACAACTTGCTAATCGACTACAAAGTCGATAAGCAAGGGATGTGGCAGTAGAGGACGATGTCTGCGTTGACCTCAAGGGTTTGACGTGAAGGCAGCAGGTGGGGGCGAGGTTGGTTTCGCATGTCGGCCACCATGTTCGTGTGCACGACTCTCCTGATCCGGGTCCTTGGCGGTGACATACATATATATATATATATATATATATATATATATTTAAAAAAAAAAAAAGAGAGAGAGAGAGAGAGAGAGAGAGAGAGAGAGAGAGAGAGAAAGACAGAGATAGAGACAGACAGACAGACAGACATATGTCGAAATTGCCTCCACAAAAATTTATCAACCGCATGGAGTATGTTGTTTGTTTCCCCNCACACACACACACACACACACACACACACACACACACACACACACACACACACACGCGCGCACACACACACACACACACACACACACATAGAAACACACAATCGACAGCTAATGCATGCTAAAGAATTACAGAGCCCCACTATACCCCCTTCAAATGCCAACACAAATCCCTAGTGTTAAAAACTTCCTACCTTGCAGGAGCATTTGGCACAACGCAAGGTTCTGGTTATGCCTTCCCTCCACTGTTTGATGGCTCTCATCCAGTCCATTGACAGACCCATCGACTTCAAACTGCTCTTCCAAAGTTGGAGAAGAACATACCCGAACAAATGCGAAGTCAATTGGCGGAATTTTCCAGCCCCCATAATTGAGCACAAATGCCACCACACACACCATTCTTCCCTTAACTCTTCGTCTTCGAATGCTTCACAAGCCACTCGATCGTGATATCAATGTTTGTCGTGTTCTTGCAAGAGATGGAGTACCAGCAGACCTCCCTATCTGTTATCGACTTCAGGTCCCTGCACAGGCACACAACAAACGCAACAATGGTACACAGACGAGAGCCATCAAACCTTATAGCTAAGCACTGAGAGAACACAGTCTACACCTCCATTCTATCCGATGGCGCTCAGCTGCACACAAATTCCAGTGCGAGACACCTCGCCGTATATCACCATTTCTTGCTAGCAAGAAAATAAGGGTGTACTCGAACGATAATCCGTGTTTCGTGTTCATGCAGAATATTCACATAAAATTGAAACTACCATCCTCCAATTACTTGAGATCTGCATCCTACTACACTTTCACCGCTCCACACCGACTGCCGAATAGACCCGCACACAAGACTACCTAGTAAATATCAATGTGTTTTGTGTTCTACAACATATTCATAGTATTCATACGAATGGCTAATCCCAAATAGATGCTTCAAAGTTCAAAGAAATATTTCAAATTTCAATGAATAAGACCTGCATCTCCCTCCACTTCCTTTCCCTCGCACCAAGTAGCCCCCCTGACATGAAGCAGCTAAGAATTTAGCCCAGGCCCCAGGGTAGCTACATTTGATACCATAAAAATCCTGGATTTCAAGCACACAAGCGAATACCATCTTACACAGAGAGTCGCACACATTAGATCAATACCAGCAAGTCCACCGAGCTATCTATTAGCTTACTCGATAGATACTAGATAGACTGAGTTCTGACATCGAGTGAACGTTTTCGTCGACCGAGTCCAAGCATCCCCAAGAGTCCCACAAGCACCAGCAAAATGAAGGACAGCGCCAGAAAGCCAACACTCATTCAGACACATGCACAAAGCGGCGATGGTGGTCACTACCGGCAACAAAGAGAGCAAAAGCATGCGAACCAGCAGGGCTGTCGTTGCCACTGAAGGGAAAAAAAAAAGAAAAACACTTACATCTGCTCACAGAGTTCGTTCTTCTGGAGCGCACCCGCCATGTCAATCTTGTTCCCAAGCACCAGCAAAGGTATTCCAGCAAGAGAAGGCTTGCTCAGAAGGTCATGCAGCTCATTTCTTGCAATTGGGATGTTATCATGGTCTGCAGCATCCACCACATATCTGTGCCAATCACACGAAGAGCAACAGAGCATTACAGAAATGCCAATATTGCTCAACAGTCAAAACTCCATACCAGGGGGCAAATAACGCACTCGACCACAAGCAAACAACCGATTCACTCACATGTACCCTCCCAGGGTTGTTGCTCACAATGCCTCACATTTACTCTGGTCTTCCGCTACACCCGCAATCCTCCGACAGGGTGATCGTGCACCATAGCACCCAACATCTTGCCAGTTCATCTCACCAAAGGGAGACTGTGAAGGCCGATCGAAAAAGCAGGAGAAAAACTCCCAGAGTTCTCAGAACAAACTTGTATAGAAAGTGGCTTTCTCTGGGCTCCTCGAGAACTGTGAGGAGCAGTTCAAATTGGATAACCTTCCCACATCCAAACACGAGCAAGCAAAGCGCACGGGGTTGAAAGATAAGGAGAAAGGATCCGGAAATCCTATAAGCAAATGATATCATACATAGAGACAAGTGAAAAGTTCTCTCTGCATCCAAGCGGGGGGCAGATAAACTGGAATGTTTGCAAGATTCAGGATACGACAAGAGGAAAGTGGATGAGCCATCCAAGCCTAGGGCGGGCACGAGTCCTGCCAAATGATTTTGGCTGGATCGTTGCTCAAACTGCACATGTCCCATCTGACCCAGGTTGCTCAAACTGCATGTGGTTGGTTGGTCACGGCTTGAACAGAGGAGTAGAAGGCCTGTGATGGACGAGTGTTTTTACGTCCATACTGTGATGTGGTTGGTCTGTGAGAAGTAAAACTCCGACTACATGACTTTTGAGTACAACTTTTGAGTACAACTTTTGAGTACAACTTTTGAGCACAACTTCTGTCAGAACCCCACAGATGGAGAACTTCAAGCAGACTTTCAAATCCGAGCTGACCCATTGCCAAAGCATCCGCATGCATCCCGTTTGCAAACCGACAACCGCCACATGCACACACACAAGGGGGCAGGCCGGGGTCCCCCGCGACGCTGTATGCAATGCTGCAAAAGCATGAATGCAGCCACTTCTAGAAATAGGTTCATTCTCTCCAGGCAAAAAAAACAGGCCCCCAGAGAACTATCAGTCTTCTTGACGTAGCACAGCAGAGATGAGAGGAGTCAGTTTGGATAAAATATCTACTTACACAATAGCAGAGACCCCTCTACAGTATCTTTCCCACATGCTCCTGAATCTTGGTTGGCCTCCAAGATCCCACAACTTGATTGTCACATTCCCTTTGGTCACCTTCCTCATATTGAATCCAACCTGCATCATTGCCAAAACAGAGCTTAACATGTCATTCAGAGCGCAAGTGAAGCGTGCGCAGCAACCGGTCACGTCGACTCGCTCTCCATGCGCTCTACGACTCCCTTGCTTGAGTCCAAGTAACTTCACAACTGCCTTGGGAGAGCCAGTTATTCCCCAATGAAATTGTCTGAAAAGAAATCAGAAGCCACCAGTAGTACGTCCAAACCTCTTTTTACCAACCTGGATTGCTGGTGCACACCAACGAAAAACAAGCTAGCACGAGCAAAAACTACATATATTTTTAGCTGGGGCTGGACGCCAATTTTGATGTGGTAGGGCCCAGAACCTTTCGACGAGGCATAGGTAGACCGCCACGTCAGAACAAAATAGCTGGCAGGCGTACTGGTGGTGGTTAAGGTCCTGTGACATGGTTGCAACAAGAGGTTCCCCACCACACCAGACAGCTATATACAGGAATCACTCTACCACTCACCACATGCACAACAGCTATATACAGCTATATAGAGCTATATACAGCCTATAATACCTAGTCGCTACATACGATGACTCTACATTCACAATGTGGGCATCACTCTACTACTCACCACATGCACAACAGCTATATACAGCTATATACAGCTATATACAGCTATATACAGCTATATACAGCTATATACAGCTATATACAGCCTATAATACCTAGTCACTACATACAATAACGAATCTACATTCAGCCTGTGGGCATCACTCTACTACTCACCACATGCACAAAAGACAAAATGTGGCGGCAAGCCCCTGCGACAACAATGTCTATGGGGATTCACGACAGCCTAGCCACTGACCCTCCTATTCAAAGCAGATAGACATAACAACCTGTCCTACTAAAGATGATTGGTGGACGAAAGCCCTATTTGCATGCCTCAAACAGAACTCTTGTACACCATCTAATGAAACATTCTCAAGTGCTAATAACTGCTTTCCCTATCAGCTTGGGTCCTGCGACTCCCGCCCAATAACAATTATGCACACGGACGGGCTACCTGGGTGACAAAATTTGCAAGAGCAAAGAGAGGGCATAGCTGGATCTAGAAAGCACAGAACAAGTCAGACAGTACGAGTACTTTCAAAGACTAGTCTATCCAGAGTACCCTGATTGGCTCATGTCACCACTTATGCCCAAATAGCCAAACACATGCTTTCTGGAAAAAGCAGAAACTAGATGACTGATAATATCAAATCCAGGAAGAATTCAAATGTAACATTATTTTGGCTCACCAGCGGAAAGGAAGAGCCTGGTAGAGCACACCGCTGCTCTCGCGACGGATACGACTTTCTCTTATTCCCTCTAAGAAAGCAATTGTATTATTTACATATACAATTACAATCAATTCAATAAATACAGTCGCGGAATCTATTGAATTTAAGTTAAATTAAAGACTTCCAAATAATAACCTAATCGCCCCCTAAGTATGGAAGGCCGACGGCGCAAGAGCGCTCTTTTGTTTGATCGAGAGAATTTTCGCGCAAAGTCTCTGAGGATCCCAAACAGCTCGTCGGTCGCTGGCTAGGGCGAGCAGCCGTACTTTTTTGTGGTTTCCTGCTGATAACCTACTTGTCCCAATGTATGGCATTCACTTAGAAATCTAAGCGAAGAAGGACCGACAGGATTGCCTCATCAGCTCTCCTTAACTACAGAGTTTCAAGCACTTCCAGTATGGCATCTCCACCTGGTGCTGCCACTCACCCTTAGTAGACCTCTCGACCACTTTGCCCGCAAACCATTGCTTTCATTCCAGACATAGAACCACGCAACAAGCTTGCAGGGATGTCACAAAGTCACTTTAATCTTGGGAACAACACCAGGTCACAAGCTCATGAGGGTTATGGGAAATAAAGCAAATCTACTCACCGTAGGAATCATGTCCTCGCTGTATCCACCCGTCTGCAATTGACCAACACCATCACAAGCGACCGCAAGATTTCAATTGTTCAGAGATGAGAACAAACAGGCGCTCACGGCTGCCACAAAGGCAGTCATGGAAATAAAATTACATCCACCACTGGAGCACCAACACGTTAAGGAAGAATTACCTACCTAATCCACTGAAGAGTTTTGATGTGTGGCCTGAACATCCCTTGTGCTGTTTCCAGATAGCAGGTGATGCTGTTGGCTGCGACGGTACGACCATGTTGCACAAACAGGAACCTGGAGAGGGGTTTTTCAATCATGCATTGCCAGATGGATGTACACGCCAACCATCGAACGAGAAAAAACACTACCCTGCTTTCTTCCTTTCCCTCTCAGTTGTGTATGTTTTCGTTACGTCGGTCTTATTGTCAAAATCACCGCAAGTACCAGCATTCAGCTTGAACTATGACAAGCAAAAGTTGATGCAATCTAAGTTCCTACACAGTAGTCAAGCGCATCCCAGGCAGGCCAGCAAGACTTCCCCCGAATACAACGTACGGTCATCATAGCTGTATTTGAGGCACCTTTCAGCCTAAATACAGCTATAATGACCGTACATCGTATTCGGGGGAAGAAGGTACTGCACTTCTTTGTTTTACTTACAAAGCCCCTCATACCCATTTTCACTTTTTTACTTGTGCTCCCCTACTCCCCCTCTTGGAGGCACAATAAGGACCTCATATGGATCCACCAGATAGCAGTTACAGGCTTCAGTGTGAGGCAGGCAACCCACCCAGCCCTGGTGGAAGCCAAGGAGTACGAACCTTGTTGCACGGACACTTCAGACACGAGATATGATTATCTAGTATACTCCTTCACCATAGGCCAACCTGTGATGTCTGCAGAGTCTTGTACGTAGAGCCCCCTCACTCGGGCGACCACAAGAAGCGTCTAATGCCCCCCCACCAGGGCAAAGTTTTAACTCTTGACATCCCAGGGGTTACCCTAGGTACACCCACTACTGCAGCCATCATGACCCACCGTTGTTTGCATGGGAGGCTGAACACTGCTTTGCTGGCGGCGACTCTTTTGGAGGGCCTACCGGCCCCCGTTTTCAAAGTGTTTTAGTGTCCCTTTTTTTTTATCCTGCCCGTAGATCTGAGTCAATCGATGGCGCCGCAGATCAAGGTGGACTTTTCATGCAGAGCGGCCTGGCGTTCCATGCCCCAGCTTGTCGCTATTGCCCCTTCCCCCCAGCCCATCATTATTGCCCCTCCACCGCAACTCGTCGCCTTTGCACAGCACCACAGCACATTGTCCCCACATCCAGGTGCTCGTCGTCATTGCTTGGGCATGGTGCCATGGCCACCTGCACGCTTTCACCTGGAAGATGATTGCGCCAACACTTCCATTGTGAAGGTAAGGGTTTTCCTTTTTCTTTCTCCTGTAAGCTGTAGTCTCTCCTTTTTCCTTTTCTTCTTCCTCTTCCTCTTCTCCTTTCTCGCTTTTGCTTTCTTTTTTTTGGTACTTCCTCTTCTTCTTCCTCCTCGTCCTCTTCCTCCTCGTCCTGTTTCTTCTTCCTTTTGGCCCTTCCTCCTCTTCTTCCTCCTCTTCCTCCTCATCCTCCTTCCTCATTTCTCGTTCTTTCTCTGCTCCCCTCTCCTTCGTCATCACCCATCCCCTTCCTCCTCTGCCTTGTCCCATCACCTCCCTCTTTCCATCCCGTCTCTCCTCCGCATCCGTCTTCCACCATCGGACATCGCCACCCATCGCCTCCCTCCTTCCTCATTGCCAACCTCCTCCACCCATCATGCACCTTCTCCCATCCGCTCCCACCTCCCCCATTACCTCCCTCCTCCTCCCCCATTGCACACCTCATCGCCACCTCCTCCGCTCTTCTTCCTCCAACATAGCTCCAAACCCTCCTTCACCATTGTCTCCCTCCCCCACTATGCCCTCCATCCTCCCCCATTGCACACCTCCTCCCATTCCCTCCTGCCTCTCCACTCCCTCATTTGCCTCCCTCCTCCGCCGTCCTTTCTCCCTAACATAGCCTTCAACACTTCTTCCCCATCGTCTCCCTCCTCCGCCATGCCCTCCATCCTCCCTCCCTCCCTCTCCCTGATCCCTCCTCTAACATAGTGGCCCTCCTCTGTCCTCTGCCATAGCCTCATTCCTCCCCCTACCCCCCTCAGACATGCAAACAACCCGACATGGAGCAACAAAAAAAAAGAGGTTGGATTTGGACACAGCTCCCAAAGCGCAGCAAGGCCCTGCCAGCAAAACAAATAAAATAAATTGTGGATTTTTGCATGCCCGGGTACCCCGTGCAGGGCGCCCCGGGAAATCTAGACATCCAGTGCATTCTCACTGGTCTATTTGTCTTCATACACGCCACCGGGCTCGCACTGTATTCTTGGGCAATCTTATTTTATTTATCAAGATGGCGATGCAAAAACCTCAACAGTGCTTTTGGAACATGCTACGTTTTCTCTTCCCTTCCGGGATTGATGGCCACCTGCGTCTCTGTACAATAGGTCACCTAACGGCCACCGGACTAAACATGCCAATAGCAACAAAATTCCCGATCCCATTCCGACCTCGATCTTACGCCATATGTACCGGTTTACTTTAGGGAGACATGGTTCAAGCCCGGACCTATCAATATCTGGTGCAACGCTGCGCCCGTCCATTTATATTTCATTTCACTTGGAATCTTCTATTCCATCAGGCATGGTGCTGTTTAAAGCTACAACAACACAGATCCATGTTCTAAAGAGAACATTAACTCCACCCCAAGTTCCCAACCAATTTCTTCCTTATGTTCTAAAGGACTGAAGGAGCCCATGTTGGACTTTGACTGGCCGAATAGGACCACTTCCATATGAATTGGGAACACAGGAAACGTTCTAGTGGTGAGATGAATACAGGGAAACGCTCACAACTTGCCTTTGTGAAGGCGGTAAACGACAGACTTAAATGAAGTTAAATAATAAATATGTCCCGACAGGTTATCGTCTCAAGTCCGATCATGAGCATACTTGCTTGCCAAAAGTCGTAAACACAAGATTCCCTAAAGCTTCCCATACACACCATCGCTATTCACGTCAGTCAGCAGACAAGCACACATCTCCGGTTCTCGCGTGAAAGAAGCAAATGAACGTACAAGCGATCAACGGAACATCAATGAACACAAGATTCCCAAAAGTCAGAAACACAAGATTCCCTGAAGCTTCCCATTGATGTTCAGTTGATCGCTTGTACGTTCATTAATGTTCCCTTGATCACTTGTTCAGAGTTGAGGAAACATACCGCAATAACATTTACAAGTGAAGTCTTCCCTGCATTCTGCAGACCGATCAGAGAGAGCTCCATTTCTTGCTTGAAGAACAGGCTGCTTTCGTAATGTAAGCACGCATGAGCCGCAATTGTTTGATGTCAAAGCGATTTCAACACCAACAGGGGAAGAGAAAACGCGAAAAGAAAAGCAAAAAAAAAAACGAAGCGTACAATGTGCACAGCCAACAAACCAAAACAGTCGTCAGTTCCAGAAATACCAGCTGCCACTTTGAAAAGTCATTTTCACAGTGACCAACAACTGCCTTCCAAAACACAATCTCCACTTGGGCACAAGCTTTCTTTTGTTTTTGTGAAATCTTGATTCCAGATCCGAATACTTAAGAAAATCGATGTGTTTTTTCAACTTTTTTGGCATCATCCTAGTGTTGTCTTCATGTAAGAAATTCGTTCTTTTCGGTGGGGGGCATGGAGAATTTTAGGGGAGGTGACCCAAGAGTGGGGGGGCTGAGGAGGAAGGAAATCAGGTGATGATACAACGAAAATTGCTGTCTTGTGGTGACCTAAAATCCCATGCCTGCTCCCAGACAGTTGGGAGCTGACTATCAAGGCAGGGAAAATACAAGCAAGGGAATGAAACAAAAAGGTCCACCTTGAACCAACAGGCTTATTAGCTCAGTTGGTACACCCATAAACTGTTGAAATGCAGACCTGAGTTTGAATCCGAAGGGAACCAAATAAAGGAAATTCCTGAATTGCCAAGGGCCAGTCAGTTCCACAAAGGCATCTTTTCTTTTCTTTTTTAATTACACACAAAGGTATTTCAAGGCTGTGGCCATTTTTTTTTTTAAACAAAAGAAACAATCCACCACGTCGCTAACGGTATACACATGTAACTGTTGGTAAACAGAACATGAGTTCAAATAATAGGAGCATGAGGCGAACATAATAAAGTTAGGGGCAAGGCCTGCATCCATTTAACACGCCATTCCGCGCATCATAGGATCCATCCATTTAAAGATTTTAGACCCCTTCCTTGCATACTGAGGGCTGTTCTCAGGCTGCTGCTCCAGAATGCAAAAGAGAAAATCTCCCTCATCCCACAGAGCCAATGCATTCTTCAGCAAACATCTCAGGCGTTCCACTGAAAGTAAGGTGTTTAGGACTGATGTTTTCTCGGTACACTTCACAGACAGGCACAACTATTGAGGTAGCAAAAACAAACTCCGCCCACCACCTCTGCCAACGCAAAATATAAATCCAAAAATCACCGTGGCAGCCACTTCGGCCTTGGGATTGGAACACCAAACTCCGCCCATACCTTGAGTACACGTGCTACCGCCTTCACCCCACCTCTGCCAACACAAWATATAAATCCAAAAATCACCGTHGCAGCCACTTCGGCCTTGGGATTGGAACACCAAACTCCGCCCATACCTTGAGTACACGTGCTACCGCCTTCACCCCACCTCTGCCAACACAATATATAAAATCCAAAAATCACCGTGGCAGCCACTTCGGCCTTGGGATTGGAACACCAAACTCCGCCCACACCTTGAGTACACGTGCTACCGTCTTCACCCGAATAGAACGCCCGGTCATTATAGCCGTATTTGGTGCAAGTTTCAGTCTAGGTACAGCGATAATGACCGGGCGTTGAATTCAGGTGAAGACGGTAGTCTCCAGCCCGGTAGTAGGTCGGGTGGATTTCAGACTAGCCAGGGCTACCTACCCAAATGAGCAGAAACGAGTTTTATTCTACTGTTCTCCTCAACAAACCTTAGGTAGTAAATAATAAAATAAATAGTGGATACGCAGCAGGGTGCCACGCCCCCTGCGGCTCATAGTAAGAAAGCTTCAAAAAAGGCATGCTAAAAAGCAAGGGGCTTGTTGCAGAAGAACCTAGGGAATGAATCTGATCCCGATCCTGGTACCATCCATTGCCAAAAGAGAGCTCTATGAGTCCATCGCGCAGATCTAACCACAGCTGACATTATAACAGGGTGGGAAAAAAAAAAAAAGAAGGCCTGAGTGCAAAACTTGGCGCTCCCATCATGGGAGTTGTAGGGGCTTAGTCTGGCAATTAATCCTCCTCTCCATCACAGGGAAGAATCAATGCTGGCTTGGATTCCCTCCCCCCCTCGCACCCAAACAAAATGGATCATCTGCAATTGTTTCAAATCAAACAATTCTTCAATGCATCTTGCCAGTGGAATAGTAACCGGACTGACACTCCCCAGAACGGACCGGGATCAAAGAAGTAAAAGACTGCATGTTTTTATCTTACAAAATAAAATGCAAAGAAGGGTCATACAGCGCACTAAGCCAACCGAAAAAATGAGGTGTGCATCCAGCGCACTAAGGCACTGTGCCCACATAATTATCACGTGTGTGGTGGCCCACATGGCAAGTATCACGAGGATCACAACAAAATCTGGTGGCACGCACAACTCCACAAATTATCACAAGGCAGCAGTGGCCATCACCTTACGTACAGGGCAAGTCAGAGCCTACGCTACCTCAAAGCGGAATTGAGAAAATCGGACCGCCACTACCTTCAAATGTACTAGTGGTGCTAATGTTCTGCTACCGTCTTCACCCGAATAGAACGCCCGGTCATTATCACTGCATCTGGACTGAATAACGCCCCAAATACAGCTATATTGAGCAGGCGTTATACTCGGGTGAAGACGGTAGTGCTGGACACAAGGCAGCAGTGGCCATCACCCTATGTACAGGGCAAGTCAGAGCCTATGCTGCCTCAAAGTGGAATTGAGAAAATCGGGACCCCCGCTACCTCGGAATGTATCCTAGTGGTGCTAATGTTCTGCTACTGTCTTCACCCGAATAGAAAGCCCCGTCATTATCGCTGCATCTGGACTGAAAAATGCCCCAAATACAGCTATATCGAACGGGCGTTATATTCGGGTGAAGACGGTAGTGCTGGACATAAGCCCCGCTACCTCGGAATGTATCCTAGTGGTGCTAATGTTCAGCTAGCGCTGTCGAGTGTTGTCATGGCCATCTCCAGAACTCCGTCTGTCTATAAACAGGTCAACAATCAAGGACGAAGGAGCCAAGCACATGCTTCACTCGAGCAATGGAGAAGACTCACACTTGAGGCTGAATAAAAACACACGCATGTAGGCTGATGTAGGCCCATCATAAACTGATCCCGCGGTCGAATCCTGATGGATACAATAACGTTAAGGGCTGCTCCATTACCCAAACAAATCAAGCGAAAAAACACAAGAAGAGGAGGATAGAAAAAGGAGTGATGGCAGAGAACAAGGGAAAAGTAATAGGAGAACATGAAGAATGGAAGAAAATAAGCGAGAAAGGGAGGAGGAAGGGAGAGAGGGCGGAGAGGAAAAGGAAGGGAGAAGATGGGAAAGGAGCTGGATAGCAAGGGACACGGGAGGGAGAGGTCAGGAGACCAGAAGGAAGAAGAGAGAAAGAACAGGACGGAAGGAGAATCTCACTTGAAAAGCTTGTGAAGTTTCGAGAATAGAAGACGAGGCAAAGAGGGGCAACAGACATATGACACAGGCCGCACGTAGCAAGGAAAAGGAGAGTACCAGAAGAGGAACGATAATTATAAAGCACCAAAAACAAAGGAAAACGCAGAGAAACGGGAAATAGCAACGCTCGATCGGAGGAAAGTGGCCCTAAGGACAACTACAGCACAAGGGATTAAACATCGGGGAGAATTAAAAAAAAAAAAAAAAAAAAGGACAGCCACTCATGAGAAGGAATTGGCAGAGGGAGAATGAAAATGGTGTAGGGTGTGGGAGAGTGGTGGCCATAGACACTGCTGATGATGGGGGCAGTGGAGGTAGATGGCAGGCGCAGCTACTGGCAAAATTAGGGGGGGCCCACTCTTTGCATTAGCCACCCCACACACACACAACTGGGGGCCCCACTCTACTCCCTGACCACCTCCAAATTAGGGTGGGGGCAACATGCATCCCCTTGATTATGTGAGAGGTAGCTAGGCTTGCAGGGACCCCCCGTATACGCTTAGGAGTAGTGGTATGTAGGCAGTGAAAGGTGAAATTGAGCTAAGAACATAGCTTAGGGCCTCATTAGACACTCCTCGGGGATGTGATGATGTGATTCCAAGGATTTTGTCCTCGTTCCACCTCTCTTCGCAGATAAAATCAGAGAACAAAATGTAGGGATCCCCTAAACTAGACTGACAGCCATTCATTCCTCACAAACCTACAGAAAACAGCCCGCTCGATTTCAAAAATCTAAGAGCTAATCCAGTCACAATTCAGCTGACTGTGCATTCAGTCATTTCTCACCCTGGTCTACCATCAGCTGCATTATCGCTGTCACTTCAGTAGGCCGAGGCACAATGCCTAAATGCACGACCATTACCGCAGTAGACTCAAAGTCGCCCCATCCGTTGCAAACTCTGAAAGCTAACCCTGTCCGAATGCAGCTATACCGACCAGCATTCAATTTCGGTGAAGACGGTAGCTTACTCTTCCATCCTTACATCCGTTCTGCAGTTAAACACCACAAGGATCTTCACCACAGACGTAACACCTGTACAGGCAGGTACGTCTTCCCACCAGGGGCGAGGTCCCGCACTTGCAAGTACTAAGACACAGAGAGAGAGAGAGAGAGAGAGAGAGAGAGAGAGAGAGAGAGAGAGAGAGAGAGAGAGAGAGAGAGAGCCCCTAGACAGAAAAAATAAATTAACAGCGCGTACAGTAACACTTCAGTCCGTACAACTTCGTCCACCAGGGATCCGTAATCCGTACTTCCATTTTTCCTTCCTTTTTTCCTTTTTCTTTTTTCCTGGTAATCCTGAGGACTACGGATCAGATGTCAAACTGATCAGAACAGATGCTGCACTTCATCTCTTTTCAACCAACTGACTATCAGTTTCCTTTTTTTTCTTTTTTCCTTTTTCTTTTAACGACTATCAGTTTCGGTCGATGCTGTAGATGGCAAAAATCGACAGTCAGTAGTGTCCGTGGATAGCAAGATACTGTCATAAATGACAAAAATCGACAGTCAGTACCTCCTAATCCGTGCACGTGGGACTTCATCCTTGGGTTTTCCATTTCTACCATCGATTTTCGCAAT